GGGCCGGCGCACTGTTGCAAAGCTGTTGGACTGTGTCAGTGACGGACAGATGGTAAGGCGACAGTGTTGTTTGTTCAGAGCCGTTTTGGTCATTTATCAGCAGAGCTCAGTTTCAGTGTGAATTTAATATTTCACAATAAGCCTGGTTTACAGTCATACTTGAACATGCAGCGAACTTGGGTTGTGAAAATAATGACAGTGCTAATTGCAGAAATTTCTTTCTGTTATCCTTCTTTGTTTAGGCAGAATTGTCACCAGAACTCATTTGTATACTCTTTCTTTTTTTGCCCTGAGCAGAAATGTTGTTAGTGTTTTTATTCTGGGAACGATTTTGACGTTTTAAGCAGGGGAATGATGAGGTTGAGCCATCAAGTGCTTCTCTCCGGATTTCTTCTGTCTCTTGTTGTCAAGCGTGTGATTCACCGTTTATGTTTTCCAGTCCCTTTTTCCGAGTCGCCACATAAATCGCAGCAACGTTGAGCAGTAAAAAAAAAAAAAAAAGACCTGCTTTCCTTTTGTCTGCCGCTCTTTGAAAGGTGACAGTGGTGGTGATGTGGAGAGAATGGATCTCGTTCTTCGAAAATGTCACGCGGGTCTCTGCCAATCTGCTCTACTGCCTTTTCTTTTTTTAGAATTAGACATTTTACCGACTATGTGATTTGAAAAACAAAAAAGACTCCCCCCCCCCCCCCAACGTTCGCCACTCGTTGGTTCAGTGAACAGATGTCGCCGTGTGGTAGAACAGAAGCTGCCATGTTGGCTGCGAGCAACGGAGGGATCCTCCGAAAAAAGAGCGTGTCCAGTTATTGCCTGGAGGAGGAGTATGTTCACATTCGTTCCATGGTTCTGTGGTCCTGGGCTATTTCACCCCTTCTGAAAATCTCTTCCATGACTGACAAGCAACTTCCCGATAAGTGACTGCCACTCAAATCTCAGATTGTCACGGTAACAGAGTGAAAGTGGACCAGTGATGGCACTTCCTGTGTGCTTCGCAGAGGGTATCATACCACTGGCTGATTTGCACTCGTTTAGGGAGCCTGCACTCGTTTGACAGGGTTGAATGTCGCAGAATCTCGTTTGGACCGCTGCAAGCTGGTATGAGCCGAGTTTTCCTTGGAGCATGCCTCTCCCATGATGGGAAGAGTCACGCACGAGGTTGGCTGTGATGGAGAGTGGGGGTGGGGTGTAGAATGGATGTACCAAGTCGGTTCTGTTCCCTTAGTAACACACCCCCCACCCCCACCCCCCGCACATAACAACAGGAGACTTAGTCGGTGATTGGGGATTCAAAAAGCCATTCCCTGCTACCAAAATCACTTGTGTGGCACTAGAGTGTAATGAGCTTCACTGTTTTTGTCTGGCCACTGCCATTGATGGATGGGACTGCTGGAAACTGCCTCTACTGCCTCGACCGCCTCAACTGTGGTTTGGATGGGTACAGCACACCTCCAAGCCCTGAAAAAAGAGCCTCATCTCCTCAAGTTTGTACTCATAAACAAACTCCTTTGTTGTCCTGGGGAAAGATGTTATTCCAGCCAGCAAACTTGGAAAATGTCTCTTGGCCAATGGATGATTCATAGTTTCGTATAGAAGAAATGGAAACTAGCTTGCAGTGTCAGTGTCCGCTGTCGGTGGACACTGTCGGTGGTCAGTTACCCATGTGACAAAGTACATGGGCTGGGAGTGACAGGAAAAGTCACATGTTACCCACTTAACCTGTCATAATGCTGAGTTCACCTTCAGCAGGGGGTGCCATATCCAGCATGCTTGCTCCCCATTTAGAACCGGTTGCTGGGTGACTGTCTGTCGTGTCTTGCGTCATCAAAAAGGACGGGGCACTTGGGGAAATGATAGCTTATCCTGATGCATGTGGGATTACCTTGTGTTGAACCAGTAATATTCCCTAAGGACAAGGAAACGACAAAGTTTCTACCAGGGGAGGGTGCTGATTGGCACCCCACTGGGGTGACACCGCTGGCTGTAGACCCTGCAGTGTCTTCATCCTACTTATCCCCAATTCTGTGAGTTATTATGCTGTAAAACGCCTCCGCTCGACATGTGTGGAGTTCGAACATTCTCCCTTGGTTGTGTGGGCTTCCTGCAGGTACTTCGGGCTTCTCAAACAGTGCAAAGACGTGAAATTAAACTCATTGAAGAGCAGACCTCCAAAAGACACTGCCAATGACCTAAAGTCAGGCTTCCTCATCATATGTTACGGGACTGGGAACCAAAACCCACTCAGTCTTCATGTAATGCAGTGAAGGACTTTCATTACATTTCTAAAAGTCCACAGAAATTTTCAAACATATCCTGTGGAGTGAGTGAGTTCTTGGCCATCTCTTATTACTGTTGTCGGCTCATACTGCTCATTTAAAATAAGTCTAATATCATTAATTGTACAGTTTCATAACCTAATATCACTTAACTAAAAAATAACTGATCCATATGATAGATGATTACAATCTCTGTTTTGTCCTTGTGCTTTGAATGTGCAGAGAATTGGCCCCAGTAACGCGCTGATTTATAATGAAAGATAAGGAATGCGCTGTTGATAATTAATTTATTTATTAATTGGGAAGGAAGGGGGGGGGTTCTGCCGATATGGTGGACGCGTTCCCCCTGTTTCCGACCCCATGGAAAGCACACACCTCTCTAAATATTCTACATGTCACAGTATATTAAAACTTTAGTTCATGAGGTTGATAAGAGTTGACACTGCTAGTTCATTTACATATTTGTCTAATATATTTTCCCAAAAAAAAACACCCTGGACTAGTCCTTAGTAGTCAGTACTGAAGCACATCGGACATTACCTTATGTTAAGACAGTAACGCAGCTTTTCTTTCAGCTATTGGGCCATGGCTCATCCCTATATCAGTGACATGCACACGTACTGGTGCATGCAGGTGTTTTATAGAACAAATAAAAATAAACTGGTGATACTACTGTCTGGGGAGGCGGGTTTGGGCACCCTATCAGCGAAAATCACAATTTACGGTGAGATGATTCAATTTGGTAAATTTGTATTTTATTTTTAGGTTCTCCCCAGTTCTGATTAATGCAATATTTTAGGATTTCTGCAGTGTTATATTTACAAAGACCACCACTTTCTTTCATGTGGCAGTCAAGCAGTTGCTGCATGGAAGGAATAATCAATTCCCAAGCCATCGATGTCAACCAATCAGGTGTAACGGCACCTATTAAGGTCGCACTTAAGAAGCTCTACCTTAAGCAATCTCTTAAGAGATTGTTTGGGAAACAGGTGTAGGAAGAGAAATTACTTTCATAAGATGTATCTTTAGAGTCATCGTAAGATGCTACAAATCATTGTTATCAGTAAACGCACCCTTGTATTTTGTTAGGTTACTTATTGTGAAGGTTAGGGCTGGGTAGGGGTTAAGGTTGTCATTGTTGGGATTAGAGTTTTTCACATAGAAATGAATGGACGGTCCCCACAAAGATATGAATACAAGTGTGTGTGTGCATGTGTGTGTGTGTGTGCGCGCTCACCTCAGCCTTGTGCTACCAAGGATTGGCTCCAAGCCCCGCTTTCCCTTTCCCTTGTGGCTCTGTCTTGAGAAGAAGTTGGAAGATGGATGGATAGTTGGATTACTCTAACCCCTCGACCACCCGGCCTCCCTCTGCTCAAGCCCTTGTGACTTCAGTGCTCTTCGCCTTTCTGGCTACAGACGGCCACTGATGCATTCTGATAGCCCCTCAGAGCTGAGCTGTTGCTCTGAATTAAAGCTCTGAACATGAGCTGGAAAGTCCCCCTACCCTCATTATTATAATTCTTCCCTTTTCCATCTGTTAACACTACCTTCATGGGAGCTGCTGGTCGAATTATACCAGACTATCATGTAGTGTGGCGGATGTGCCATGAGGTGTAGGGGTGTGTCATGTGGTATGGCGGGTGTGCCATGAGGTGTAGTGGTGTGTCATGTGGTGTGGCAGGCGTGCCATGCGGTGTAGTGGTGTGTCATGTGGTGTGGCAGGCGTGCCATGCGGTGTAGTGGTGTGTCATGTGGTGTGGCAGGCGTGCCATGCGGTGTAGGGGTGTGTCATGTGGTATGGCGGGTGTGCCATGCGGTGTAGGGGTGTGTGATGTGGTGTGGCAGGCGTGCCATGAGGTGTAGGGGTGTGTCATGTGATGTGGCTGGCGTGTCATGCGGTGTAGTGGTGTGTGATGTGGTGTGGCAGGCGTGCCATGAGGTGTAGGGGTGTGTCATGTGATGTGGCTGGCGTGTCATGTGGTGTAGTGGTGTGTGATGTGGTGTGGCAGGCGTGCCATGAGGTGTAGGGG